ACATAGGAGAAACACAGGAGAAGGCTGCCCCTTTTAGGATTACAGGGGAATATGCTGATAAAATAACTAAAGAGTTAAAGAATGTTTTAAGAATAGGCACTATAGTGAGATCAGAGAGTCCATGGGTAACGCTAATAGTGCTAGTAGACAAACTGGAGAATACAGTAAGATTTTGCATGGATTATAGGAAGTTGAACCAGCGGTGACACAAGTAGATGCATGTCCGATGCCAAGACCTGATGATTTATTAAAGAGAGAATAGGAAAAGACAGCTATATCTCTAGACTGAAGTAGAAACCATTCTTAATTGGCCCATAGTGATATCCAAGGAGAAAAATAAGATCATTTTTAGGGTTGGTAGTTTACTATAGAAGAAAGAAACTACAGCTCAGGGAAAAACATTTATCAACCACAGAAATAGAGTGTTTAACCGATGTTTGGGCAATTAATAAATTGAAACCTTAACTATGGGGATGAAAATTCACTTTGTGCACAGATCATTCACCTTTGGTCTGGATGCATCTTCACAAAAGTATGAACAGCAAATTATTGAGATGGTTGTTATTGTTGCAAGATTTTCATTTTGTGATTCCGAGCATGAAACGAAAGGACATCGTAGCTGATGCTTTTTACAGGAGACCAGAAGATGAAAGATAAAGGGGAAATTTCGTTTATGTAAATGTAATGTTAAGATAGAGTTATGTTAGAGAATGTAAACGTAACTTAATAGAATATAATCAAGCTATGGTAAGGTAAGATACATTGATGTTATGGAAAGTTATGTTGTATTATGAAATGAGTTGCTTGATAAGTATTGTTGAAGAATAGAGTAATCTATAATATATAATTGAAATTATGTAAAAGGAAAAAAATAGTAAAGGTATTGCATATTATGATTTTACTTGAGATGCATTGAAGTGAACTGAATTAAGCGTTCACAACCCCGAGAAAGAAGTTAAGGGGAATAGAAAGTGATGAAGTTTATCGAGCAATACCAGACTTTTTCATGATTGGCTGATGGATGACTGAGATGAGGACTAATCAGAAAGCATCAACGGAAGATATGCGAGTAAGAAGAGGAGAGAAAATGAGTTATTTTGAGCAGTTGGTTTGATGATTCGTTAGATTTAAATGACTGTATAACTAATTGTTGTAAGCCGCCCAGAGACCTTTGGGTAGAGTGGGCAGCATATAAATAAAATAAATA